ACCCCGCCCCTCTAGACAACGTCTACTCGGGGCGGCTTACATAGATTAAAACACATCTTCTCTGGCCATGCCTTTTGCCAAGTGTTAATAAGATCAATCTGTTTCCCATAAGTTGTGTGTGTAGTTGTTTGTGGCAAAAATCAATTAAAATTTGGAGTAGGTTTGATAGCAACTTTGGATGACATCCAGATGTCAGTTGCAACAAAATCAGGTCTACTGAATCAATGAGACTTGCATAGGCATTGGGATAACAAACCCTATTCATTCACTTGGTATATTCTCAAAGTGAGTAACAAATTGATTTTGTTTGCTATATTTCATATGCTAGACTAGAATCATGTGACACTATTATTGGAAACATGAACTTCTGTATATCTCAGTGGTTTAGATATCTAGCTGCAGAGCTAGAGGCTGGGAGCTGGGCCTCCTTGACATGGGCTGGACTTCATGATTCATAGGGTCCCTTCCAGTTCTGCTGTTCAGAGTATTAAGAGTATTCTGGGATTGTGTGCCCGCAGTGGTGTTGAACCCCATTCTACCAGTTCCAGCCAGCCTCGCTAATGGTGAGATATGAAGGGAGTCACAGTTTAGCAAAAATGCAAAGAAGACTGAAAGTTGGCCACTTTGGGTACAAAACTACCTAGAACTGTAATGAAAATTGCAGAAAAGATGTGCGTCCCTATTTGCTAGTTTCTGGCCTGTTGCTGTGATTCTTTCCTGACATACAACTAACATTCTTACTAGCAGGTAAGGAACAGTGGGAGACAAGCAACATGTACAATTTGGAACTAGGGCTTTGTACAGTACCATTAAACTCACTGCTTTGTGCTGACACTTCTTAAGATGCTTTAATGAATTACAGAGAAAGAAAGGAAGAGCTTTCTCCAACTTGGTTCTATATAGTTTAATGCTATTTTTGAGAGGCATTTGCAATCATGCCACTTTAATTTCAATACTACATGGACAGAGTTTCTGGTTAAATACATCCAAGCCTAACACAAATCAGTCCCGGACAATCCAGATAGTGTGGTTGCTGACCTTGAGCCAGATATCCTGGAGAATGAAGTCAAGTGGGCCTTAGAAAGCATTGCTAACAACAAGGCCAGTGGCGATGATGGCATTCCAGTTGAACTATTTAAAATCTTAAAAGATGATGCTGTTGCTACATTCAATATGCTAGCAAGTTTGCAAAAACTCAGCAGAGGCCAGAGGATTTGGAAAAGATCAGTCTACATCCCAATCCCAAAGAAAGGCGGTGCCAAAGAATGCTTCAACTACTGTACAATTGCACTCATTGCACACACTAGCAAGGTTATGCTCAAAATCCTGCAAGGTAGGCTTCAGTAGTATGTGGACCAAGAACTCCCAGAAGAACAAGCTGGGTTTCGAAGAGGCAGAGGAACTAGAGACCAAATTGCTGACATGCACAGGCAGGTCCTGTTCAAAGTCTTCTGCCCCATACGCTGGCAGGTAGTCAAGGTAATGCCATTGGCCTCGACGAGCAGGGTACCCCCTTGGCTCCGACTGCTGGCTATATTTAAGGTGTTGCAGCCGCAAATTCAGAGCTGGCTTCATAAAGTTTTTGCAAAAGGTGCACACAGATGTCTGATGTTCTTCCCTGAGGCAAAATAAATAACAGGAATGCCCATCGGAGAGGGGAATTTTGTTTGAGCAGACCTCGCACCTCTTGAAGAGATCCGGTGAGGCCATAAACTCAAAGTAAGCAATATGACAATTAATCCTTTTTTTTTCTTTTTGCAGATAACTCAGTTGTGAAGTGAGGTCAACAATCCGGAATCAAGCCACGGAGGTCCAAAGAATAGAGGGAAAGGTAAGATAGATCGATCGATTGAGCACACAAAGTTCTAAACAAAGCTGCAACAGCGGCAGTCGAAAAGGAACTGAGGCACTTGGTGCCGGGGGCGGAGTTATAGCCAGCGTGGGGGAGGTCCCGGCACCATGTGCTCGAGCTAGAAAGTTCTGAGGCTACTCCACGCAAGTGCGGATTAAACCATCAGTGTGCATTCACAGAGACCATGAAGAAGAACTGTTTGTTGCTCAACCCTTTGCCTCTTGTATTTCCAGAAGGCTATCAACAGAAATGTAAGGCAAAATTGTTTTAGTGGGCATTTGGGTGCTAAGAATGGCTATTCCACCACATGTATGGTAAGCACTCATTATATGGTAATGTATATAAGGTAATACTGTGCAGGTTGTTACTAGGTTTTATTCAATTTTATCATTTTTGTGAAGTATTTTATTGGGGTGTGTGAGAGAGGCAAATACGATTTTATCATACATTTTATCATAAAGACAGACAGACAGACAGATATGGGATATCTAATGTGGTGTAATGAATAGAGTAATGGACTCAGGACACCTGGGTTCAAATTCCTGCTTAGCCATGGAAACTCACTGAGAGCGCTTAAATATCTCAGTTACTTTGAAAGCCCTATTAGGGTTGCTATAAATGTGTTCTGACCTGATAGCACATAACAACATGTATCCATACATACGTGTGTGTTTGTGTGTGGTTTGTGTGTGTGTGTGTGGGGGGGGGCTCTTCTTAATCCCTTGCTGTTGGCCTTCAGAATATACAAGGACATATAAAAAAAATAGATTTCTGACAGGACTCTGGCAGTTGAACTAGGTTGCTGTAAAAGGTTTGTCTAATCTAGGTGGCTGCTTTCCTCCATTTATAGATTTTAAACAGAGCTTGGAAAAGTTAAAGCTCCGACAACTCCTTAGGCAGCTTGGTTAATCCAAAAAAGCAATGTTTCCAAGCCCTAACTATGCTTTGTTTCCTGATCTAATTTACTTGTCCTGTTTTTTTCCCCCAACCCTTCTTATTTTATTGTAATTCCCATTGATGGGAGAAGAAAGGTGAGACACAAAACCAAATGGCATTCATATATGAAATAAATCACCTTCTTGCAGTCTGAAGAAATTTGCTTTCCCACTAACCATATCAGGAAAATATCATCTCATTCGGCTTCATGGATACACACCAAGATAACAATATGTGGTCAGGATCTTAATATGAACTGGAACATTCAGTAGAATCCTTTGAACTACATTGGGTTTCAACAGCAGATAATACCAGCGCATAGCTAGGATGTATAACCTCACTACAAAATTTCAGGGGAGGCACTCCCTTCAGTCCACAAGTAACGGCAGATATCAAAAGATCCCTTAGCAAACAAGCTGATGTGGAAAATGTGCCATAAAGGCAGAAAGATTGAAAGCTACTATATTTTACCTGCAATACTCTGATCCTTTAGAAAAAGATAAGTAGCACTGAAATGCTTAATTCCTTTATGCGAAAACAAGAAGTCTTGCTCATTCTAATGACGCTGACTTCCAAATTTTGAAACCCATTAACTTAGTGGTATAAAGGAAGGTTTGCTTCCTTTATCTGATCAGGTCATTTGGTACCACTTTAACACAGCTCCTTTAGAGTCTTTTTTACAAGCAGCTACTTCAAACAGCTCTAATAGCTGGCATGCCAAACAGCTGTCTGGGAATATGCACTAACCATACCTCTGCTTGTCTTATGAGGCCATGCTGATAAAAAATTTAAAATTGAGCATTAAGTGTTGTTGTGCATTCTACACTGGATGTTTTGGTTCTGACATGGTTTTCTCATTGGAATCATTCACTGCTCAGGCACTTGCTCCTGCCTTCTCTGCACAGAGAATTAGATATTTTCATGTAGGAATTATCAACGTAATAGAAACAACCGCTCTGCAGGAAAATTCGGTCAACATATTTTATTTCCTCTCTTGAACGGATGTTAATCAAGCACATCTATTCAAGAAAGGGACATAAATTCCTTTCCTCCCATTTAAAGCACACACACACAGAGAGAGAGAGAGACACACACAGAGAGACACAGACATAGACATAGACCACAGATAAAGTATTTATCTGTGTCCAATGCTTGTCTGGCATACATCAGAAGGGACAGGCTGAACAACTGCTAGGGGAAGTGAAAGAAGTGCCAAAGGAGGACTGCAGCTGAACATTAAGACAACAAATACCATGACCATCAAAGAACTAGTCAACTTTAGCATTGACAAGGAATAAACAGAAATATTTAGAGGTTTTGTATACCTTGGTTCAACCTCCATAATTTAAATTGTAAACCACCCAGAGAGAGCTTTAAGAATAATGAGGTGATATATAAGTAGCACACTTTGCTTTAATTTCTTACTGGTAAACATGTTCCATGCATGCTCAGTTCAACCAAAGTGATTGTTTTTTTTCTTTTTGAAAGGCCTTTTTAGAGGATCAATATTTCAGCAAAGGCATCTTGCGTTCTTTCCAAATAAACAAATAAGGTGTGGCCAACCATTCTCTTTCAAGATAAGTAAGACTGGTCTTTTCAATGTATTTGGTCTGTTTTAAATCTGGAGATGTTTAAGTCCACTTGTTTCTGCACAGGGAGGCACAGTTTTACTTAAAAAACAGTAATAACTCAAAAAACGTTTGCCCAAATTCCCCAAGTTTTGTACAGATCAAGATCAGACCGTCTGCCACATTTGTGCCAAATCTGGTGCTGATCTGAAGTCCAGTTTCAAAGTTATCATTTTTTTGTTTGAGACGCCTACATTTTAGAATTGTTGTGTAGAGTGTTGATTTGCTCTGCTGCACAATAACATCATTATCATTTTCATCATACAACGGTACAGAACCAGATGTTTCAGGAGATGAGGGAAAGAGGAAGAATGGGTTATACAGGGCAAGGTACAAAGAGCTGGGGGAAAGTCACTGCCAGAGGACAGAGAAAGGAGCAGTCCTGTACCTCCTGAAGCTGCAGCATATATAAATAAACCAGAGCACAAAAGAACTGCTATAAGGTGTAATGTTGCATGTAATAAGTCGAATTGCTACTGATTCAATATGTTTTTTCTTAGTAGTATTGTTTCAGCTAAAATTAATCAAAGGCAGTGAAACTCTTCTTCCAAATGAAGATTTTTATTTTTATTTTATAGATCAACATAAGAAATCAGAGGGCAAAAATGTTCAAATATGGTTTAGTTCCCACTCCCATTGAAATGCAAAGAGTGTCCCTGAACAAAGATACTCTTTTCTAGATAATTGAATCTTTACCATTGGGTCATAATATTTACCTTCCTTAATAATGCCAAAAGCCACCCATAACAAAAAATAAACGATATACTAAAGATCACAGATTCATAAACAGGGGGAGGGGTGAGATGATGTTTATCTCTTCATGCAACTGAAAAACCTAGGCATCTGTTTTCTGGATTATGCTTGAACTCTTGGAAAGTTGCCATCTAAACTTGGTCCATTATAAAAGATGGTAATTTGGATTAAATCTATTTCAGACTCAATTTCATTAGCTAAAAGGGGTTAAAAAAACCCCACACACCATGAATTGTAAATCTACAAGACATGGCTAGATTTTAATATTGTTCATTAAAAGTTCTATTCTCCTGAGCTTGCGTTTGTTTTTTGGCATTGGTTTCTTGTATAAACCATTTTTAAGGAGATGTTCCTTGCTGTGGTGGACTTGGGCACCATGCTGAAGCTGGAACGAGCACAGGGCTTGAAGTGGACGGAGGACAGTCTGGGGAGAAACAAGAAAGAGAGAACGCCTTTACACACAGTAGTTCCAAAACCACTTTGTCCACAATTCGCACACCTTTGTGTTTGCACACAGTAAACAAGCCAGCATGTTCACAGGAAGTCAGAAATATTTCAGAGGAACTGACATTCAAGGGAGTATGTTTTGTGTTCTGTATTTAGGACGTATTCCAGAATCTTTAACAACTTGTTCAGGTACTAAAAGTTCTGGAACATGTGCTTGGGATAAAGCAGAAAGCAAAGGAATCCCAAGCATATTTTTGATGCAGTTTCCAAATTCTTAGACTTCCAAAGCTGGGTGATTCTAAAGAGGTTCAAGAAGAAATGACTTTTATACTTGTGCTGTTGTTTGTAAAGATTCCTGCTTGAAGTGCTAAGCACTGTATAGCATTTCCATTTTTAGGTACAGATGGCGAAGTGTATTGTGAAGGCATTTTTGAATCTTGACAGAGTCTTCCATCACAGACTAGTGGGATCACTTGGAAAGCAAAGGCTAATGTCCTCTTGTTATTCTTTGACCTGGTAGAATAAATGTACACTCCACAGCTGTCAGGTTCCAAGTTCTTGTAATGACACTTGACAGCTATAAGCTGATTAGTGCATTGGAATAATAGAGTGGGTCTTGCTCTGAGGACTATCTGAAATCTTTGTGATTGGTTTACACCTACATTGTAATATTCAAGCTAACTTTCAGGGTTCCTCAGTTCATCTCTGTAGAGAAGCACCCCAGGAGTCATTTTCAGGCAGAATTATTAATTTACCTGGCTGAAGTGTGACTCATGATATTTTAAACTGATTTATTTGGACTGCAGAACAATTGTTAAACATTTATATAGAGTTATTTATTTTAGCACTATGAAATGGGATCACTATGAGGCTGTTTAATACATATGAAACACTAGAGAATATATAAAAAGCAAACATATCTAATTGCTTTGGCCTTTCAAAAAAATCAATGACAATCACACTTCATTTCCATTTTTGTAAACAGAAGAACAAAGGCACTCATTTAATATAATACTCATGTTTGCCATTTACTTTAAAGTAAAGAAGCATTTTCACTGGTTTAAATTTAGAGGCATTAAGTCACAATGCTGGAAAAACCCCTGCACACAATGGGAATTGCATGAGCAGATTCCTTCTTTGCCAAGTTGTCTGTCACACAACTGATTGTGCACCGATTGCAAAATTGTTTGCCCAGTGAACAACCTGACAAAGCAGGGCACAGCTTGTGTGATTACAGTTTACACACATGTTTTGTTCCCCAGCAGGATTCTAGTCACATCCTTTAACTGAGACATAACCAGCTGGTTAAATTGAGTCCTTTGATTTAAGTCTCTCTGCAGAAACTATTGTAAATCTAGATTAACAGTATTATCAAATTTTTAAAAAGAAAAATCTTTAATACAGGATTTTTGAAGAAGAAAAGTACACATATTCATGCATAACAGCAAGTAAAATCTATACCTGACTGAAATATATACATTAGAATTATATATCCAGTGGTTTCTATGTGTATTGGACATATCTAGTACAAGTACTTTATAATTATACTTAAGCATTCCAGTCCCCTATAATGAGAAGAACACCTTTCTTTGGTGTCAGTTCTAGAAGATGTTGTAAATCTTCATAGAATTGGCCAATTTCTGCCTCTTCATCATCGGTGGTTGGTGCATAAACTTGGATTACTGTGACGTTGAAAGGTCTGCCTTTGAGATTGTATCCCAGTACAGCTTTCCCCACTCTTTTGTTGACTATGAGGGCTACTCCACTTCTTCTATGGGATTCTTGCCCACATTAGTAGATATGATAATTGTCTAAATTGAATGTGCCCATTCCCGTCCATTTTAGTTCACTGATGCCCAGGATGTCAATGTTTATTCTTGCCATCTCCTGTTTGACCACATACAGCTTCCCAAGGTTCATAGATCTTACATTCCAGGTTCCCATGCAATATTTTTCTTTGCAGCATTGGACTTTCCTTTCACTTCCAGGCGCATCTGCAGCTGAGCATCCTTTTGGCTTTGGCTCAATCACTTCATTAGCTCTGGAGCTACTCGTACTTGTCCTCCGCTCTTCCTCAGTAGCATATAGGACGCCTTCGACCTGAGGGGCTCATCTTCCAGCGCCATATCTTTTAGCCTTTTGTTTCTGTCCCTGGAGTTTTCTTGGCAAAGATACTGGAGTGGCTTGCCAGTTCCTGCTCTAGGTGGATCGTGTTTAATCAGAACTCTCCACTATGGCCTGTCCGTCTTTGGTGTCCTTGCACGGCATAGCCCAGAGTTTCTCTGAATTACTCAAGGCCCTTCGCCACAACAAGGCAACAATCTGTGAAGGGGGTCTCCAAAGGTACAAACTGCAAATCTTTAATTAGCTTTCTTTTTTTAAAACAAAAGAATTTTGTTTTAATTTCTTGTAAAATTAATACAGTTTTGTTCATCGGTTTAAATTTTACATAATGCTAATGGAGTGAAAATCTCTGCAAGCACACTTGCATTGCATTGCACCATTGTGCAAGCAGCTGTGCAACGGCTTTCATAACCTTTTGCATGATTAATACTACTGGATACCACCCTTTTACTAATGTTGAAAAGGCACAACGGCGAGTGCAGTGGTACCTCTTGATATATGGCATTGCTCTCATCCTTTTTTCCCCACTGATAGAAGAAATAACTCTAAAACCACCTACCTCTTTAATACTCTCATTTTTTTCCATGATGGCTAGGGCAACCGCTGCACATTCAAGTGTGGACAGACAAGCGTTTGTGGGCTGTGTACGGATCACATACTGACTTGAAAGGCTAGTTTTTAGTTGCACCTGAAAATAACAACGTATTATTTCACATTAAAGAAGTGTCTTAGTACCATAATTCAAATTCTCTCTAAAATGTTTGTTTTAACATATGTAGCATTTTATCTTTCAGTAATTAGTTATCACCATATGCATATACTTCAGTGCCCCTTACAGCACTTTTATCTGATACAATCAGTAAAAAAAAATTAATAATAGTCTTTATACTGGGGGGGGGGGCGGAGAGTCAAATGCAGTGATCCTTATTCATGGTTTTTTACCATAACAAACTCAAGACATATAAGACATAAGACTTATATAAAAATGCTGCAGTTTCAATAAAAAGATTTTAAAAATCAAAATGATCCCATATTTATTGCACATACTGTAGATACAAAGGGAACAATTACATTTAGACATTTAAAAATATTGCACTTTATTTTTTATTGGAATTATGCATCCTGTTGTGCAGTTATGCAAAAGGTGCAATGTGCAATACTGGAGTAAATTAAGAAGTTTTGGTAAGCATTGTCTGTTGCAGAATGAGTTACACGACTTAGCATGCAAAGATAAAGTCCATCTTAACTTAAGGCTGTTTGCTGGTAAAAGCTATGCCTTTTGTGAAACTGGATTGCAGCCACTGTTTTGTAATTAACAATATAGTTAACAGTAATATAAAGAGTTATATAAAATCCAAATAATAAAAAAAGTGTCCATGTCTTTTAGTGGAGCACTTTTGTATTTATTTTCAGACTTGAAATGTTTGAAAATGATTAATTCATTCTCCCTATAATAAGAGGTTTACACTAGTACACATGTTAAATACTTCAGGAAAGGCAAATGCCATTTATCCAGTGACACTATTCAGGTGCTACTCATTAGATTTTTTCAGCATCACACAGGACCTGAAAATCAAACTTGTGTTCCAAAGCCAAAGTAGGACACACTCCTAACATTCACGCTAAAAAATATTAAAAAGGTGAAACACAGGCAACTCAAGTGGCAAAACCCGACATGAAAGCCGATTGAAATGGATCCAGAAAATCCGTTTCATCCAGCAGCATCTGGAGTTGCCCAGCCAAAACCCGCTCCAACATCTTGCTCAGATATGGGAGGTTCGCCACTAATCGGTAGTTAACCACCAGCCTTGGGTCCAGGTTAGGCTTTTTAAGGAGTTGCCAAATTACCGCCTCTTTCAAGGTGGTAGGGACCACTCCCTCTCTCTCTTTTTTATTGTTTTTTTGCCTTGTGTTAGGGTGTGGGATACAGAAAGTAAGAGGGGGAAAAGGGTTGGGGTTGGGGGAGGAGAAACAAAAATATACTAACATCCAATCTACAGTGGTGCCCCGCATAGTGACGTTAATCGTGTCCGGATTAATCGTCGCTATCCGGAAACATTGCTAAACGGAACTAAAAACCCCATAGGAACACATTAAACCTCATTTAATGAGTTCCTATGGGGACCAAACTCACCGTTCAGCAAAGATCCTCCATAGCTCCACCATTTTCGCCGCCTCGGTAAGCAAGGGCAGCGTGCGAAAATGCTTGCGGTAGCCATTTTGGGCACCCGGCAGCCATTTTGGAACTGCCGATCAGCTGTTCTAAAAACATTGCAATGCGAAGATCGGTAAGCGAAACGCTTACCGATCATCGCAATGCAATGTTTGCCCATTCAGAACATCGCAATGCGATCGCATTAGCGATCCCAAAAAATAGATCGCTATGCAGATTCGTCATTAAATGATGCACTCGTTATGAGAGGCACCACTGTATTTATATTGCAATATCAAGATTCACACTTTGCTTTTCTACTATTTTCTGCCTTCTAGATTTTAGTTCACACTTTGATCTAGGGACCACTCCCTCTCTCAAAAAGGCATTCCCGGCTTCCTGGACGCAGGTGTGAACCCACTGGCAGATCTTCCAATTAGCCAAAATGGGCAAGGGTCGAGCGGAGTGGTGGTAGAAGAGACAGATCCAAGCACCCTGCCCACCTCCTCAGGTCTCAGCAATCGAAACTCATTCAATATGACAAGCAGTGGCAAATATTTTAACCACTATTCCTCAGGGCTAAATAAAATCACTCTGAATAATGAAGCCATCCTATTAGACTATATTAAAGTCTTCAGCATCCTGTACTACCACAAATAACAAAAAAAGCACCAAAAAACTCCACCAAACCCAAAACACACACACACACACACACACACAAGTTTATTCATCTTTCAGTTCTGTGTCTCAAAAACAGCTGTGTCTCAAAGCAATATTGTAAGGTTGAGAAGTTCATTAACACAAAAAAAAATCATTATTAACTTTAGAATCCACTCAGCTTCCTGTCCCAAAAGATCCCCCATCTGTTGTTAACTTTTTTCTGTAGGCCAAAACCAGATATCTTTTCTCTTTCTTTTCATTTTCACAATGCTGAGCCCACAATGTTTCTGCGTCCTTGTGCTGGACATTACTAACACACTCTTCTATTCTAATTCTAACCTGTCTCGGAGCTTTGCCTATATATAGTTTATTATAAGGACAAAGGCATATGTGACAAATTTACGGTTCCATGATGTAAAATCTCTCAGTTGTTATGCTCTTTTTCATCTGCAGGATTTACAAACTGTTTCTGCCATAAACAATAATTACAATATTTGTGATGACTACATGAAACATCAGGATTGTGCCCTTCCATGGGAGGGCATGATGCTGACAAAACAAGTTGTTTAAAATGTATTGTTTCTACTCAGGTGTTACCACTTCGAGCTAACCAGTCACCTCTATTTGTTTTTCATTACATTCAGAAATATCTTTAGCAGTATGTATTGATGGATATTCTGATGCAAAGAGTGACCCTTGGGTCCTAAATACATCTGCCAGCTCCCCTTTCCCCAAATTAAAAATTAAATTTAAAAAATATTAAAAAGTCCTGTTATGGCAATTTTACCAAGTTTCCCTCCCAAGCCTCTCTTCCTGATACTAGGTGAGAGGGAGGTTTTTCAGTTAAAAGAAAAAAGAAATAAATATTTGCGAATTGCTGGGGACACAGGAGTAGACATCATTTGTGGAAGAATAAAATTGTTAGTTTTTCAGTTGTCACAGGATTCTTTATAGTTTCTGCTACAATGTAACAAAGGTTACTCCCTTGGAAATTAAATCACATGGGGAAGTAATGCCCTCCGAAACAAAAGCAACTGTGCTGAAGTATGCAGCACCAGCACCTATCAGTACAGTGGTGCCCCGCATAGCGACAATAATCCGTGCAGCCAAAATCGTTGCTATATGGATTCGTCGCTATGCGAAATAAAAAAGCCCATAGGAATGCATTAAAACCCGTTTAATGCATTCCTATGAGCAAAAAACTCACCTTTATGTGAAAATCCTCCATACGGCTGCCATTTTCGCTGCCCGGTAAGCGAGGAATCCGGGCCAAAACACAACAGGCAGCCATTTTGCCATCTTCTCCGCTCCAGCCCCTTGCCCTCCCCACCTTACAGCTGATCGGCGCTGCTCTTAGAAGCTTCCCCAGACTTGCCCAGCAGGTAAACAGGCAATGGAAATGCACTGGGGAAGCCTCTGAAAGCGGCGCTTTCTGGGGTGTGGGTAGGTGGGTGTGGGTGTGGCAGGGGCAAGCCCGCCCCCTGCCCCCCCAGAGCCCCCCCTCATGCCGCTTTCGGAAGCCTCCTGTGGCTTTTTCAGCAGTGAAAATGCACCTCTGAAAGCCCTGTTTTGCTGCGGGGGGCACGAGTGGGGTGCTGGGGGTAGCGGGCCTGCCCCTGGCACATGCACACCCACACCCACCCCAGCAAAGCGCCGCTTTCAGAGGCTTCCCCAGTGCATTTCCACTGCCAGTTTACCTGCTGGGCAAGCCTGGGGAAGCTTCTAAGAGCAGCGCCAATCAGCTGCAAGGTGGGGAGGGGGAGGGGCTGGAGCAGAAAAGATGGCTCCCGGCTCTTTTCTGAGATGATTGCTCCCCCCCCTCATCGCAAGCTGTGCAAAAATGGGGCATTTGCGATGATGGGGGGGAAGCCATCATCGCAAAGCGATTTTTCCCTATAGGGAACATTGCAATGCAATTGCAAAACCGATGGCAAAATCTTCATCGCTATGCAGATTTGTCGTTAAAGGGTCACCCGTTAAGCGAGGGACCACTGTATATTGAGTAAGGCAAATTCTGGGTTTTAATAAAGGTTAGCAACGTGTTTCTTATTCGGTGCACTATTACTATATTTTTACTCTAGGTGGTTTTTTTTTTAAACCTCAGGCACCAACATGACTTAAGTAGCATTGAATACAATAAACACCAAATTGGGAAGGGCACAATTTGCCAATTTGTACTTTTCAATATAGTCGTTTTTTTTCTTAATGACTGAATGGGAAAATGGTAAATTATTGGCGAACACATCAGAAGTACTCACAGAAATATAGCTGTTATGTGCCATCAAGTCACCTCCGACTTAAGGTGACCCTATGAATGAGAGATCTCCAAAATGTCCTGTCCTCAACAACCCTGCTCAGATCTTGTAAACTCTGTTGCCTCCTTTAGGAAGTCAGTCCATCTCATATTTGCTCTACCTCATTCCTGCAGCCTTCAACTTTTCCTAACTTTTATTGTCTTTTCCAGAGAATCTTGTCTTCTCATAATGTGCCCAAGAATTTTTCATCACTTTTGCCTCCAGAGATAGTTCAGGTTTGATTGGCTGTAACATCCACTGTTCACCTTCCTGGTGGTCCAGGGTATCTGCAAAGCTTTTGTCCAACATTATATTTCAAATGAATCTTTTTTTTTCTTGTCAGCATCCTCCAAATCCAACCTTAATGGTGGTGGTCCCAAATCTCTGAAACAGTTTACCAAATAAGCTACACCAGGCACATTCCCTACTTCTTTTTTTTAGAAAATTTGTAAAAATGGAATTATTCAAAGCTGCATTTAGCAGCTGACTCTCCAGGATGCTGCAATTTTTTCTTTTCTTTTTGTATGAACTTTATATTTTATAATTGTGTATCACCAGATGAGTTGAAATGTAAATTTTTAC